TGCGCTCATCCACTCCCCACTTCCTATGAGGGTGTTATGGGAGACTGTGTTGCAAGCCTTGCTGAAGTCAAGGTAGGCAACATCCACGGCTCTCCTGTGGTCCATCCAGCCAGTCACCTCCTCGTAGAAGACTATCAGGCTCGTCAAACACGACTTCCCCTTGGTGAATCCATGCTGACTACTCCTGATCACCTTCTTTTCCTTCACATGCGTAAAGATGCTCTCTAGGATGAGCTGCTCCGTCACCTCTCCAGGGACGGAGGTCATGCTGACTGGCCTGTAGTTTCCTGGCTCCTCCCTCCTGCCCTTTTTCCAGGCTGGATTGACGCTGGTTTCTTCCAGCCCTCTGGCACCTCCCCTGCTCTCCGTGACCTCTCGAAGACAATGGAGAGCGGCTGAGCAAGAACCCTTGCCAGTTCCCTCAGCACTCTTGGGTGCATCCCATCTGGGCCCACAGATTTAGGGGTGTCCAGTTTGCCTCCGTCACCAAGGCACCCTCCCCATTCAGGAGCGGGCCCACATTTTCCCTAGTCTTCCTCTTGCTGCTCATGTATTTTTAGAAGCCCTTCCTGTTGCCCTGACATCTCTTGCTAACTCTAATTCCAGATGGGCCTTGGCCTTCCTCGTTGCATCCCTGCATTCTCTGACAATGTTCCTATATTCTTCCCATGTGGCCTGGCCCTTCTTCCGCATTATGTATGTGCTCTTTTTCTCATTAAGTTTACCTAACAGCTCCTTGCCCATCCATGCGGGCCTCCTGCCTGCCTTGCTCGACTTCTTTCTTGTAGGAATGCACCGATCCTGAGCTTGGAGAAAGTGGTGTTGGAATCAACAACGAAGTTGCCTCTCTTGAAGTCCAGAGTTGCAATCCTACTTCTTGTCCAGCTTTTTTTCTCACAGGATTCCGAACTCCAGCATTTCATGGTCACTGCAGCCAAGACTGCCCCCAACCCTCACACTTCCACTAGACCATCTCCGTTTGTTAGTATCAGGTCTAGCAACGCCCCTCTCCTTGTTGGCCCATCAACCACCTGCATCAAGAAGTTATCTGCAGTGTTCTGCAGGAGTCTCCCGGACTGTCTGTTCCTAGATGTGTGGTTATTCCAGCAGACGTCAGGGCCTAGGATTGTGAGGCTTCTTGCAGCTGCCTGTAGAAGTCTCACCCACTTCTTCTTCCTGGTCAGGAGGCCCGTGGAAAGCCCCTGTTGGGCTGTCCTTTAATCCTCACCCCCAGGTTCTCGACTCGCGCTTTGTCCTCTCCTATGCTTACATTAAAGAGCAACTCCGCCACCTCGCCTTCCTGGCTTGTCCCTTCTGAAAAGCTGAAAGCCATCCATGGCCACGTTCCAGTCATGAGAGCTGTCCCACCAGGTCTCACTAATTGCAATGAGATCATGGCCCTGCAATCGCACACACATCTCTACTCCCCGGTGTTTATTCCCCATGCTGCGTGCGTTTACACAGAGGCATTTGAGTTGGGCTCCCAGCGTGCCCCTTTCTAGCTGGGGCAGCTCTAACCTGTCCATGTGACCTGTTTTGCTGTTTTCCCTCTCCAGTCTTGGGGCATCCTTCGCTGGCTCTGGAGTTAGGTTGGTGTGATTGGCACAGAATGCCATCCCTCATGTTATCACCTGCTTCCCTGATGATACCCTCCTCCCTCTCAAACCAAGTTTAAAGCCTTCTCCATGCGCCCCGTTAGCGTGTGACCAAGGACCCTCTTCCCCCTTTCAGAAAGATGAATCCCATCTGATGCCACTGTGTCTGGTGCTCTGTGAGGCTTCCTATTGCCCAAAGTTTTGGTGATGACACTAGCCATGGAGCCATGTGTTATCCTCCTGTTTCTTTCCATGTTGCTGTCAGCACTGGGGAGAATGGAAGAAGAGATGGCCTGCACGCCTGAGAGTTCCTGATCATCTGACCCAGTTCTCAAAATCCCCTTAGATTGCCTCTGGGCTATGTGTTGCTACTTCCTCTCTTCTCACATGTAGGACCATCTCTTAGTATTCTCTTAGTTCCCTTCATCAGTTCCTCTCAGGATCTCACTACAGCCAAGGCTGTTGCTGATGATCATGTTCTTAACAGGTTGTTCTTTTTGGGGAAGAATTGGCAGCAAGTTCAACAAAGTGCCACCCTTTGACATTTAGATTAAGAAGATACCCTGACATCCTCTAGAAGCCTCATAGGCTGTTTGCATACCACTGTTTGTTAAAGCATGAAAGGTCAAAAAAAGTCCTCTTATTGTTTCAAACAGGCAAAATGTAAACAAAGAACCATTGCTGGGTGGGACAGGTGATTTAATGACAACAGTTGCAGATAAGGCTGAGGTGCTCATTGCCTTGTTTGTATAGGGCTTCCGAAATGACCTGCTGCCTAGAGAAAGTGTTTGAGGAGGAAAGGAATTTCAAGCAGGGAGAGAGGATTAAGGCAGGGATATCTTGGGACATCCTGAAGAGGGTAACCCTGGGTGACTGGCTGGGGTGTATTCAAGGCTGTGAGGAGAGCTGAGGCTGTAGGCTGAAAGATCATGAAGATTGGGTAAGGTTTCTGATACTTGGAGAAAGCAAATGTTTTCTCTTTTTTTCCCCTCCAAAAATAAATAGAGTGAGTGAGACAGTAAGTTGGTCATTTTAACTTTTTTCATGGAATAGTCCTCTTGGAAGTTCTTTTTCGATGCATGAAGAAGGCAGTAATCATTTGGAATAGCCAGCATGTATGTTTTTTTTTAAGAATAAGTCATGCTTGATTAGTATGACCACCTTTATGATAAAATGACTGGATCTGTAAATGAGGGAAGGATATCAGTGTTGTCTACCTTGATTTTAGCAAAGCTTCAGTATGACTTTTTACAGTATACTTGTTTTTAGTAGGCCACGACAGTCAGGGTAGGTGGAATACTAAAGGAGTAAATAAAAATGACTGGATGGCTTAGTGTAGTGGTTAATGTTTCATATTCTACCCAGATGCTTGTTACAAGTGGGGTTCTTCAAGTGACTGTTCTGTGACCTCTCCTGTTTAATATCAGTGACGTGGAGGGGAAGATGAAATGCACTTTCAGCAAGTTTGTGAACAAGAAGAACATTGTGGGGATGTAGCTGGCATGAGGCAGGCCTGCCATTTAGAAGGATATTTGTGGGCTGGAGGAATGGGCAGACAAGGCCTTTATGAAATGCAGAGTCCTGCAAATTGGGATGTGGCGGCCTGCTGCAGTGGCTGAGCATGGGCACTGGCTCCCCACCTGGCTAATGGCTTTGCTGGAGGGGATCTGGAGTTGCTGGGCAGCAGGATAACTCATGAGTTAGCAGTGCGTTGTAGCAGCACTGCAGCTGACAGTGTATCAGCAGGAGATGGGCTCTATCAACAGGACCGTAGCCGGTGGATCGAGGGAAGTGACTATTCTTCCTTACTTACAACTTCCTGCACAACATACTGCTTTCATTTTTGGGCGCCTCCAACAAGAAGGGCATTGAGGGTTATCAGAACTGTTCGGGGGAAGTTGTCTGATATTCCTCAGTTGTTTGTAACAGTTTGACCTTGCTGTATACATACTGTATATATATGCCGTAAACGAGGGTAGGAAGTCTGTTGGAGTAAGTTTGTGTATCACACTATGGAAGGATGCATGAAACACTTGCACTGGCTTCTTTCGTGCTCTACTTGTGAGGACTTGGATAACACAGCTTCTCCAACAGTTTAGAGGTGTCTACTGCAGCCGATGGGGTAATCCTTGCTAATGTGTCTTGACTGCATTTTCAAGAGGAAGAAGTTCAGAAGCACTTTAAGATTCAACTAATTGAAACCCCTAAGGTTATGGTAGGGAGGCTTTCTTGAGGGTTCCCTGCTGAAGTGCCCTTGTCCACCTTTTTATGTTTAGAATCAATATATTTAAAATGAAGCTGTCATTTTATTAAAAGGATTCATTCTGGTAAAACCTGTACTTTTGAATATTGTAAGATTGAATGAAAAAAATAGATGTTATGATTTTCTATGGGAGAAAAAGAAATGGGTTGGGGTTTCAAGATTGTTTTAAGAAAGTGAATGAAAATATGATAATCACATTTAAAATGTGCTTTATACATTGGTTTCTTAGGTTGACATAATTTTTTTTAGCTCGGAAACTACCTTAATTTTCACTTCCAGATTATCTAACAGCACCCTAAATAATAGTAATTATAGATAATGTTTTTGGGTTGTCCCTGTCCACCTATAATCAAGTTATTTATGTTTTAGAAGTTAGAATTTGGATTTAGTAAGAAAATGTATCAATTTCTGCCACTCTCAACATACTTGACAAAGGCTATAGCACAAACCATGTATGTACCATATGATGACTTTTAAGACCTTTTCCATGGTATGGCTTTACAGTAGCTCTGTTGTAATGATGCTTTTTCTTATAGTTGGTGTACAGTGGAGGGCATGTAATTTAAAACATTTTTTATAGGCAATGTTTTGAATTCAATTAGTGTTTCAAAAAAACCTCATAGCTTTTTAACTGTAAAAATGCATTGTTCTCTTTATTAAAAACACATCTGCTTAGTTTGCTGAAGACTTGAGAAAGTATGCAAGGAGCTAAGTGAATGGAACATAGAATACATACATATTACACAGTACGTGTTAGATAAAATAGTAAAGTCATTTTGAGTACTTAGTGGTGACTTGTTGTGAGCACAGAAAGGAGAAATGTCGTGAGATATTTATGTTTCTTATAGTCAAAAAAAAAATTAGCTGACTGTGATGTCAACTTTGTTAGACTTGAAGAGCCTTCTTCCTCTTCTGGTCTCCCACCTTGCAGGATTCAGAAGCATAGCAGTCTAGAAGGACAGGAGGTTAAGTAATAACTCCAGTTTGGAGGTCCAGTAAATTCTTAGAATCCTGTGATTGTAAACTGTTTTTTAAGGCTTTAAAAGTATAAGCATAGTTTAGTCATAAAAAACAATTCTGTGTAGTCAGTGAAAGAGAATAGTGAAAGACAGATTGAACTAACTTTTACATTACAAAAAAAAAAAATTCATCTAGCTTCCCTTTTCTATTCATACCCCATTTTAGGAGAACAGAGAAATAAAACACCGAAAACTAAAATATTAGTTATTAATGACTGCATTTTACTTGAACTTGCGTGAGCAAAACCAGTTACTGGAATTTAATGTTATCCTGAAGTAGTTGAATAATCAATTGTGGCCTTTTAATCAAGGTGGTAGAAAGCAAACATGAATTCATTATTGGATTTTCCTTTTAGATAAACGAACTGGTGGATGCCCGACTTAAGTCAAGATCACTCTAGAAATAACTTGGACAGTACACCATCCACATCTTACTCAGACTGTATGGACACTGATGAAGAAGCTATTTATCATATCAAGTATGATGAGTAAGTGCTCCTGATATTATTTTGAAGACATCACATATTGTTATGCGGTTTTGTATAAACCAAGAATTTCTTGAAGAAACATGGAACCAAAGAAAGCAAGTTCAATGGTGCAACCAAGAAAAAATATTAAACATAACACCTATCAGTTGGATATAGTGAATACCTTGCGAGTATTGAATTTTTTTATTCCTAAGTACCAGTCAAGTATTAATTCCTCAGTCATGCCTTTACGAAACTTAACCCATCCTCTTTTATAAGAAAAGTTAATGGTAAAATCATTTTTTCTGAAAGTGTTTTTCACGTAATACATGAGTTTAATTAACAGTCAAGTTAACTATGGCCATTCGTAGTGGTTGCAGTTTAATGGAGTTTCTTATCGGCAACATTGTACCATTGCATTCCCCTGAGGAGTTGATCTTTCTTTTATTTTTTTAATAACATCTGTTGAAGCACCAAATTAAGCTGCTAAAAGAATAGAGTCAGAGTTTTAATTTCTTTTACTGAGAATAGTAAATGTTTAAGTATTTAGTGAAATATCAAAAGCTGCAAGAAGTGCATGGAAACAATCATCAAGGATGATCGTAATTGAGTTGTTTCTCTTAAAAGATACAAGTATATTGTGGTGTCTTTAAGACTGTTTATCTTTGCAACGCTGCAGATGCACTTAAGTGAGTCGGGGTAAAGATTTGTGAGAAAGCGTGTTTCTAATTGTTTCAGTGAAATTATATTTCTAATTTTGTGGATATTCTTTATCAGCAATATCAGATAAAGTGTAGAAACACAGTGTGACATGATGGTCACTGAAGTCACAATTATTTACTTGATCAGTCTAAGTTGAGTTTTTGGAAAGAAAATTATTTAAAAGTGTTCTAGCAAGCATAACCTGTACTTTTATAAGTTACAGGGGTTTATTTTAGTGGAAATTAACATGCACATTTGTAGAGTGTTTTGTGTGCACTCATAGCACTTTGTTTTCATGTATGTTTACCCTTCTTTTATCCTGAGGCCACACATGTATCCTCTCACCTGTGTACATCATATGGATAAATAAGAAGGTCACAATGTGCTTTGCCACTCAATTCTGTTCTGCTTCTAATCAGCTTATTCTCGTCTAATTTCTGGTGTCTTGTTACTCGTTTGAGGTTCATACTGTATTGTAAATTCTTTCTCTGCACATAGTTGTTCATGGATGTTCTACTCCTCAGCTTTGGACTGAATGCTACCAGACTTCTCTGATCTAGCTGTGTTGTTTTCTGTGCTGAAGAAGCTCTCCTTTCTTTTACTCTATACAAGATGATTTTACTGGTCAAGGACCGTTTAGCTCTGCCTTTTCTACAGTAGTTATCTGTATACAAGAGATGAAAGTACTTGCAGTATCAGAAGCAAATTAAAATGGACTTACAAATGGATTTGTAAAGACATCAGAATTCAATTGTAGAATTGCTTTTTTATCTTGCAGTTTGAAGAAATCTCACCAAAACGAAGGTCACAGCTAACGGTCCACTGCAAACCCATGACTTTGATTTCAGGACTTCAGTATAATGGCAAATAAAGTTTACTATCTACTCTACTTTTGTGTTCTGGCAGATTTAGTCTGACAATACAAAAACGGAAAAGCTCAAACAACATATGTTTTATTGATGCCTGGAACCAGTTATTCTAGAAGCAATGTTTAGGTAGTAATTATTGGAAAGTGGTTCAATCCTACTACTTAAAAGCATCAACAGATTTGGGTTTCATTCTGTCTTTTTCTTTCTAGCCAGAGATATTTTGCAGTCTCGTTAAGAGAAGTAGTTAACCGATCATTCATTCTTTCCTAACACAGTAACTTAAAAGTGGCTGCGTTCTCCAAAGAACAACCATTCTTAGAGGATGAAGTTGTCTTACCTGAGAAGGTGGTGTTAACAGTGGCAGTGCTCGGTTTTTATATCACAAGTCCTGTGTAAAATTTTCACTTTTCCTCTCTTGCTCCCATTGCCTGTTTCAGAGGTCTGTCTACAGCAAGTATGAAGGGGGAAAATGGCAAGGCTTTTCTGGTAAAGAACATGGTGAAGAGAAATCAGGCTTTCTGTATGAGGACTTTTGTTACAGTAATTTTCACCCACCAGTTCCTCTTGACTGTGGCCACTGCCAATTGAGAGCAACATATCTGTTCTTACTTGGTAAGGAACAGAATAGCTGAATTTCTTCGCTTCAGATGCTGTAGGCCGAGCATTTCATTGCAGGACTGTAGTGTCTATGAGACTACCTCTAGGAGGGGTGGGTCTGTTCATAGAAAACATGTCTCCATTTGGAGGAACCTCTATGCACCTCTAAGTTCCGGATTAAACAGAGTTCTTCATAAACCAAATAATTAAAAGCCATGCTGTACATGCTTGAGAGTGCTGTCTTCATCAGTGAGGGAGAGACCAGAGGACCAGCTTTATCAGTACTGTCATTCCATCAGCCTTTGGTATTTCCTGTCATCCAGTCGTGCTGTCAGTGCTTTTCTTTGATACTTCCTCTTGTGCTTTAGTTTCTGAAGGTAGCCTTTTGCCTTGAGGTTGCCTGTTCATAGGTGTGTTCCTACTTCTGTCAGTTGTCCCCTTCTTCCTTTTCTGATGCTTCATTCACTATATTTCTGTTTCACCTCTGCATGTGCTGGTATCGCAGATGGACACTAGAGACTTTGTCAGGGCTTGATACCAGATTTCATGTTGTGCATTAATCCAGCCTTCTCTTCTGCCCCAAGCAACTGTCTTTTATTATGAAAGAATACAAGAAACTGAAGATCTGAGACGTGCTTAAGATACTAAAGTTAACTGAGGTAACTCTAGATTTGGTCTTTGCCACAAGTGCCTACTTAAGAATCAGAATTAGGTGATAAGCAGTAGAATTGAATAGCTTAACGTGATACGAGTCTAGACAAGTCTTAGAGTACATCGGAAAGCTTGCCATAACCTCACTCTGTTTTGCATTTATTGTGCAGTGTTTGCTACAGTTTTTTTACTTTCAGGGAGACAATGCTTGGTATGTGAATGATAGATGTTTGATGCTTAGGTCTTCATTAAAGTAGTGGAAAGATTTGTTTTACAAACAGATGCTGGGTTTTTTTCTCCTTGCATTTTTTTGTTCAAATAATAAAGACCTTAGTCTATTTACCTTTACCTTACCTACTGATTTGTTAATCTTACCTTGGTGGTCACCACGATGGCTAGTGTTTGCAGCCTGAGGAATGTCAGCATGCATAGCTGTCAATACACAAATAAGCAAGTATAAGTCACAGAATCACAGAATGGCTAAGTGTGTGTGTGTAGCATTCTGTTCAGAACGCTCCCATTCTGGTGATGATACCTGCAGGGTATTGTATCAGTCAACAGAGAAGTTGTATTTTGGGGTGATTCCTACCTGCATGAAGGTATGCATGCTTCATGGCGTGAAGCATGCTATTCTCTGGTTAACTCTTCTAGGCACTTAGCAAAAGTGATTGTCTGTTTTTCCTGTGTTTAATAGAAGTTGTGGAATGGTGCCCTCTGAGCCCCCACAGAGGTGCAAAACTAGAAGTTCTCTGAGGTGTCCTTGTGCCTCAGTCCAGCGAGAGACTGCAGACCCTCTGTTTTGTTTAGGATCTGTGCTGGAGGTTTTCATGATCCGTCAGAAGTTAAATGGATCTCTTGTCTCTGATGCTGTGAGGAGCCCCTCAGAAGAGCAGTGTGATGCAGTCATGGGGGACTGTTTTGCCCAGCCTGGTTAAGGCAGTTTAGGTATCCAGATGGCCATTGCTGTTAGTGAGAATTCCTTAAAAACTCCAGAAGGTTCATGGATTTTTACAGGCAGAGATTGGAATACTGCGTCCTTCTAACCCCTTGTACTCTTCCTTCTCCCCCTTGCCAGTTTTGAGTACTTTTTCTTGTTAAAATAAACCTGGTCTGTGTTGGTGAGCTATGTCTTTATTGGTAACAAGAAGTTTTTAACATGAGACTTGCATTGCAAAATATGCCAACCTTGTTGTTATACAAGCATGTTCCTTGTCTAAGAGAGGATATTTTTGTTAATTATCCAGTGGATCTTGAGTATAAATATACCTGTTAGTCTTTGCTGGCATTTCAGCTCACTTTAGTGGTTTCCTTTCTCAGGCCTCTTTCACTTCACATTAACTTCAAGTTAAGTTTTCTGCTGGGTGCTTCTACCTGTAATTAATGGAGTGGAAAACTGATGTTTGCTGTTAACTTTTAGAGCCTGTGGAAACCAGCTTGCTGTTTCATCTCCTCAGGAAGACAATTTTCCTGATTTCTTTCACTTATGCAGGGAGAATTGACAACCTGTGTTTTTGTTGTTGTTATCTTACAAAGTTTCATTTTGGACCCAGTTTAAGTTTTGACTTAAACTAAGCTTGAATCTGATTTTCATTTTCATTAGGAAAATAGTTAATGCCAAAATGTCACATCTTTCCAGATAAGGGATGTAAACTAGGCCTTGCCCAATGTGCTTGTGACCAAATCTTTCAGGTGGGGTGGCTTCAGTTGTTATGTCGCTACCTGAAAGATTGAAGGATACATTAATTTCAGAGTTGGCTTCAGTGGACGTTGGCAATATGAAAATTCATTGCAAGACTGCTAAGACAGACTTACACTTAAGCATGCCCTGTCAGGGTGCACGTATATTGGTAATCTGACCAAAGAATGTCTCCACTTCGGGCATGTTCCGGACGCCCAGGTGGCTGTGCCGTGCGGACCGTCCTGGCGACCGTCCTGATGAGCTTCCCTGCACGCAGCCCGGCAGAGCAGGCATCGCCATGAGGATGTCCTGGCTTGGACAGAGCGCTCTGGGCACGGTGACCCCCGCAGGTTCCCTAGGGAAGACTCAGCTGCATAGCTTTTGGTGGCAGTGCATTCACACGTGTTCCTGGTAATGCCTTCTCCCCTCCCAGTCCCAAAGAAAAAAGTGGAAATAAGCAGAATATGTGCAGATCTGTGTTTGTTACAAAGGTGTTTGCCAGCATTTGTATTTATAATGTGGGC